TCTGGTGTCTCTTATGAATGTTTCACCCCCTCTCTTATCTGCTTGTGTGCTGGATCTTCGTACAATGCTAAGACGTTAAACCATATATTTCTCTACCGCCGCGAAGATTCCAGGACGCAACAAGTATGGTTAAGACTATTTTGATGTCTTTCTCTATATAGATACACATGTATGTACTAAGCATAAGATAACTAAAATAAAATACAAGAGATCGATTATTTTTATTTGGTAACACGTATCAAAAGTTAATATGATAGGATCTTAGTTAAAGATGAAAAATTAGTAAGTAATATTTAAAAAAACAAATTTGAAAAAACATAAAGAATAATATAATGAAATTTATTATAGATTGATCCCAAAAATTAGACCAAGGGTTAGCTTTGATAAAATACATAAAATTAAGGTTTTAAGTTCAAATAAGATATCTATTGAAATTTGAAGAGTTATCCATCGGGTTTAACTTGGTTGGTGGGCGAAGTTGTTGGATACCCCAAACCTACGATCATTTATATTAAATCATTGATATTTTGTATTGGTTATAAATCATGATCCTGATTAATGAGATATCCATTAACTAAACAAAAAAATTAGAACAATTTATGAAATATTTTCATTAAAATATTGGCGAAATGATACGAAGATTGAGGTATTAGAATTAGTTGAATAAAGATTAAATTTATGATGCATAAATTTAGTAGTTATTTTGTTATTATTATTAGAAGATAAATTTACATCCATATATGTTAAAAATTTAAATATCTTTGATCTGTTATACCAAAAATGCAAATATAGATGGATATAACTTTAGAGTTGGATGATAAAAATGAAGAAGATCGTCAGAGTTTTATGTGATAAGAAGATATCATTGAAGCTTGTAAATAAACTTTATAAAAAGTCTTTGAAGTTTAAGCTGAGTGTGGTAGAAATATGAATGATTATGGTTTCGTTTGGGACGGCTTTTTTATTACTTTCTAAAACAGAGTTTTAGTACAAATTTTTTTTTATTTTTGTACTAAAACTTCGTTTTAGAAAGCAATAAAAAAATCGTCCCAAACGAAGCCTATGTTAAAGAAAATGATGGAGTGAAAATTTTGGTTTCGTGAAATAGGCTTAGATGGATTGGACACACATTACAAAGGGTAGAGAATGCACCTGTTTGGCGAGTTTATAAATAGCTTAATGTTTGTGAACTATGAAGAGAAAAAATGAGTAAATTTGATTTTATATGATTAAACAGTGTTCAGTTTGATCTGCTCCTTCAAAAGATCCACTCTTCTTATTATCAATTACCCAAGCTACCAAATAATGCATGCATGTGTTTTTGAGAAAAGATTGTGCTCTTGGTTTTCTGATTTGTCAACTGATCTCCATAGTGTGTTCAATATCTGGTTTGTTACTATTGCGGGTTAGAATATATGCGGCGATAGAGTTAGAGTTATTTTTCTTAGTGTTGTACGGATATCCGACACACAAATAGGAAATTCATAAATACAAGATTTTTTACGTGAAAAATCCTGGAAAAGCGAAAAATCACGGGTTACGCCTAGCTGAAATGATTTCACTAGTATTTGAATAGATTACAAGTGACCTCTTCATCCTTGAAATTGAGGACAATTAGATTACAAGTCAACAGTTGGGTTGAAATCTAGTGACGAATGGGGATCGGACGGAAATCTGACGACGTTTTGTGGTCGGGTGGAAATCTGGCGTTAGTATGTGGCTGGAAGGATATTCGGCGTCAATCGGTGGCTGGGCAGAAGTCCAGCATTAGACTGTGACCGGGCAGAAGTTTGGCGTCAGTCGGTGACAAAGCGGATGCCTGACATCATTCGGTGGCCGAGCGGAAGCCTAATGTTAGTCAGTAGCTTGGCGGAAGCCCGACGTCAATCGGTGACCGGACGGAAGTCCGGCTTGATCATCCAATTTATAGTTTGAGCTTTTCTAATGTGCTTCAAGTCTTGAATTTTGATCCATTTGTGCTCAGATTGAGTCAAATTTGGTGTCGTTGGGTTCGTATTTTCAAGATGTTCAGTTCGACCATAAGTTTGTTGAAACTGGAGTTTAGATGGTCCCAGATTTAATTTCGGAAGTTTCCAACTTGATTTTGCCTTGACATTCATGCCCTATCAAGATAATTTTTTGATGATATATCAGTTACCATACTACAATGCTTTACTCTTTGATTATGTATCTTTTTCCTTAATATTGTGCATGTTTTATTCCCTATTGCCATGCTTCCATCGCTCTGGTTTTTCGAACTGGTTTACTCCCTTAGCAAACCTTCCAATTGATTTAAAGAAGTAAGCATATGCCTTTCATTTTCCAAATCAAGTATAGAAGATTCTAGTTTCATGAACAAGAACGATACATTTCAATTGCTTAATCAAAGACACAGCTAACTCTACTTCTTATTAACTTGTTAAAATGACCTACATTTTGCAAGGAGAAAATGCTGAACTTTTTTAGAAAATAACTGAGATAGGTTCTGCATTTGGATAGAACCAGCCAAAGTTTTGTTCAATCCCTTCTTGCTTGTTCTCGTTAAACATTTCATACAAAATTGTATCAATTTTGGTGTCAGGCAACGTTGGCGTTCTGTTCTTGTTAACATGTTCTATAACATTCTTGTTGAGTGTCTGCTCAAGCTTCTTTGTTGTAAATGTTGTGATTGCAAACAATGGTGAAGGTTATGAATGGTGAAAGACTCTACAACCCGTTCACAAGTGGCTGTGGAAGGGCTCATTATGTGTAGAGTAGCCCGTCTATGATGGACAACGAACAACATGCAGTAAACCTTA